CTTTCCCTGTCCCTCTCTTGTTCTCTCCAGCATTCCTCCTTTCTATGCTTGTCTTTTTTTTCCTGTTTGTCCCCCCTCCCTGGCTTCCATGTCATTCCTCGTCCCCTGTCCCTCGTCCTCATTTTGGCTTTAATTATCGAAGACTCCCTCTCAGCAGCCTTTGTTCACCCATTCACCATTGCTGTGTGTGTTCTCTAGCGGCCATCTTACAGCTTTCTCTCCTGCTCTCTCTCTAGCCTCTGACATGGGGAACACTACGCATGTGCTGCCATATCATATCTTCCTCATAGTGTGTTAGGAAAACCTTCAAAATAAAATCCCTCACTAATTTGTTTCCTTTGTCTTTATCATTTTATGTATCTGCATCCAATGAGTGTCGTGTCCATCTCACCATTTGCTGTGTGTTCCCTCCGTCTTCCAGGTGAAGGCTGGTCTCAGGACGTTGATTCCCATTGAGCAGAAGTATATAGAGGAGGAGCCCAGAGTGTCCAAGCAGGTACATCAGCAGCCAACGCTTATCTTCTACCAGTCTGCCTCAGTTTTATCTGTGTCCACCACTGTACCTGCTGTTCTGCTTAACTGTCTGAATGAAAACCAACAAGCCTGGAGAGTGGCATGTTGTAAAGCACAACAACTGTGTGGGCAAGATATAACAGGATGATTGAAGGAAAAACGGCATTTTGTGTATTTTTTCTCTTCCCTCCTCTCTCCCTTCTCTCATCTCTCCCCCCCCTTTGCATCTACTCCGAGTGGTGAATAGAAATGTCAAGCTGTCAGCTCTGGGATGCATAAGTAGATTGGCCATCCTTATAGTTGGCCCTCTTTGCCACTGCTGCTTTGCACTTCATTGTCACACCGCTCAGTATGGCACCACAAAGGGCTGAATAGCAGGGGCTGGCCCACATCAGACATGTCATATGAGTGACCGTTTGGGCTCAGCAGTCAACGCTGCACCATGCACAGCCGAGCGCAGCCGTGCCCAGCGCAGCATAACGCACACACCAGCCTCCACCCCTTTGTCAGCCCTCCATCTATTCCCTTCTTTCCCCACTGTTTTTGCCTTTTCTCTTGCTCTCTGGCTCCCTGTATTGGCCCACTCTACAGCTTTATCCCAAGTGCTGAATCCTTTTTTCATCTCCATTTCACCTCTGACTTATAGAGATGACCTGTGTCAGTGTCTCGCAATGATGATGTCACAGGCTGCTTTTGGGGGCCCTTCTGTGTGGTAGCAGCTCCCCTGCTGTTGCTTGCTGCTTAGTGTGTACAGACATACGTACACACACATAAAGAAGAGAAAAAACACACAAGCTGTTTGCCAAACACAAGCATTTAGCTGTAATTGTGACATTTGCCTTAGAAAAGTGGCAAAATCATTTATTGTTTTTGGAAAAACTCAAGGCACCGTAAAATAATTTATGAAAAGTTATATATAATGACTTCCCAGACCTCTGGGTCTGTGTTCTGCTGGGGACAGTTTGGCCAAAAAAAAACAAAAACAAAACACAATTATACACAGCGAAGGTGGAATCCTTCTCATCTAGTGTCAAAGCAGCCAGGCCACCTGTAACCACATGTAAATCCACTAGAAACATAGATGTTGCTGTAGTGTTACAGACACAGTATACACACATTCCAACACACATTTTTTTCCAGAGTAAGAAAAAAAATGTCCTAGAATTTTTTTTTTTGAACAGTGATCTGCAGACACAGCTTGTCCTGTGGGAGCACTTTCTCCTGGTGATGACGTGATTGGGTGGTTTATGCTATTCCCTGAATGGTTGGCAGCCCAGGGGAAGACAGCAGTTAGCTACCTGTCTATGGCCAAATGCCTGGAGAACCCTCAGGGAGGAGAATCCAGGGACTGTGCTGGAAAGTGTTTTTATTGTACTTAACTTTATCACTGAAAGAGTAGACTTAAAAAAAATGCTACGAATCAGCTTGTCACACTTACTTGTCCTATATGCTGATCCATTTCCATATATAGCTATCCATGGAAGGAAAACACACTAATGTCCTCAATGGTGTCCTTAGTGCTAATGTTGTACTACTGAAGCCAAAGTAAGGTCAAAGCTCACTGAGCTGTAACTTAATGTTCCAGTTAACTTTACAAAGTACAGCGGGGTGGGACGCTACAGGATTTGAACCTGCTATATTAAGACTGATGAACACTGTCATTTTAAATATGGGATCCAACATGTTTATGTAATAAATTGTGATGAATTTACACCTTAACAAAACAAAGGAAACTAAAGTGACCTTATGTCCTCACAGGCATCTAGAACAGACAGAGACCATAAGAGCTATGCTTATGTTTGTAGACAAATTTTGATACATTTTGCTCATGTTTTACTTCGTCTTTAAATAAGACTTTACAAACACTACACATGTGGAGCTAATGGGGAAAAGTCACACAACCCCTGTGTGTTTTAGTTTTAGTTTTCAGAGGTACCCTGCTAGCTGTCACACCATGTGTCATCATCAGTTATCTGCATATTTACTGCCCAGTACAGCATGTTGTCTTTTTGCACACTGTCCATATGTACATGTACTCCTCTTTCACAGTAGAGTGACAGATCTTGTACAGTACATTATATAGTACCATGCTAATTTACTTGCTGTATGTGACATTAAGTCTTCACTTGTATGAAATGAAATATTCACTTCTTTGTCTCCTTTATAGCTGCTGTTGCGCAACTTCAACCGAGTTAAGCGCTGCATCATGTTCCTGATCAACACAGGTTGCTACATCAACAGCTGCTTTGAATGGGACTCTCCACAGAGGAGCATCTGTGCTTTTGTGGTATGTCGAGGTACATTTACATACAGTATAGACTACAGTAACCATATACTGTAGCACATTTCATGCAGATTTTAATATTCCCAGCCAAAGCTGAAACAGTTCCTAGTTTGTATCTTTTTTGGGTATACAATTAATCTATTGCCACAGTGATAATTATATTATTAGGTAGATCCCCACAATGTGAGTGTGATTTTGGTCTCTACACAAGGCATGCACACATCCAGCAGGAGAGCAACGTGTTCAGAGGCTGTAGGACCATTTCTGCTTACATGCTTAACTGGTAATTGCACACTCTAACATGAGAGATTGTTGTCTCAAGCACAGTAAAGTACATTCCCACACTGTAACCCCCTACGACAGACTGTTACTCACACACTCAGACAACGTGATAATGATGATCTTAATTAAGTTATTTTTCTGGCTTTTTATTTAATACACAAGCACACATGGTATATACACTGCAAGTGTTTAAGTGTCTGTTTGATGCTGGAAATGGATGGTGTTGCAGCTAAAACACTGTTCCCTGTAATACCGTCAGACATCCAAATACTCGTAACTACAATCTACCGAAGTGTGACAGACTGTTACTGCAGACAGTGGAAATAGTGGCCTCTTTCTTCTTCCATCGGTCTCCTCTTCATCCTCCCTCTCTTTCTCTCTCTCCTGTCATCTATGTCTGGTATTAAAAGGTGAAATGTAATTGGACAGCAGAGCTATCAGTAAAAGACATCCCCCTACAGGGCGGTGAGTGGCCGTGTGGACGTTCCTACTCTAAAGATGACAGAGCAGGCATTTAATCCTGTCTAGTTTATAGTGGCCTGACTTAAGTAGCTACAGGACAGGTGGACCCGCCCCAGCCCATTACCATGGGAGCACTAAGCACTAGTGCTCCCATGGTAATGTCTCCACAGTAGACATTAGCAACATTTGGCTGTCTGACACCAGTTTTGTCTCTGCAGAGACTTTGTGTGTGTGTGTAATTTATACAGCGGGTCAGTGTCATCACAAGACATGGGTCAGAAGAGACAGTATTGATCTGTTAACATTTTCCCCCTGTGTGCGCCAGCGCGTCTGTGTACGAGCCTGGCGTGTGCATTTGAATTTTCTCTCAGGTAAGGCGGAACTAGGCGTGAGCTCTCCCATCTTATCTTTTAGAATAAATGAAAATGTCAGACACAAAAAAAAAAATGTTGAGGAATTCACAGGAAACAAGGTCACTTCAGAATTGACAATCTGCATGGTGAATGGAAACGGGCAGATACAGCCTTGGATAGTGCAGCCTCCGTGTCAGCACCCACAGACACACACATCCACATGCCTTGTATAGCTCTTCAGCCTTTTTGAAAACGCTGCATGCATACATCCATTTCTGAGTAACAGTACTCACTATTCATATTCTCATTGTGCTCACTTAAATTCAGAATCTTCAGATGATGATGTTAAAGGATGTCTAGGCCAAGGGCATAGAATTTTATAGTTTACAGAAAGTCTGAAATTTAGGTGTCATTACGTTTTTCCTCCCTACACTCCCCTTCTCGCTCTTTTGGTAGTCTGTTATCGTAGGAGTATGCACTTGGCTAAAAGCATCAAAGTATTTAGGGCCTCTCTACACAGGTACTCTCTCCCTCCCTTCTATACCATTTCTTGATCCCTCTCTCATTTCTCCCTCACTTTGAGGGGCCTCTTAATCACTTTACTCATCTCTTTAAGTGGGTTTTTATGGCGGGCCATCTGGCCAAGATGGTGCCTTCATGAAGGTGTATAGCTGTGTGTGATTATGGGCACGTGTGTCTGTTCACATGTGCACTTTTTTTTTTTCATCTGGCTGTCTTTCTAGACAGATGTTACACTTAACTTTCCAACACAGCTGTACGCACAGAGGTGGAGTTGTGGTCAGTTCAACCTCTAAACTTACAAATATGCACATTCTTAACTGCTAAGTAAAGCTGTGGGTTGGGGGGTTGGGGGGTGGGGGGTTATGTGTCATTTTGTGTTTGCACAAACATCAAAATGCAGTTGTCATACTGTCACTTCATAACATTTCCTCCACAAAAATGCTCAGTTTTTCTTCACGGGCCTTTAATCTCCTTCTGCGCATTTCTGCAACACCAGCCACATGTACGTATCGGTCATTAGTGCCAGCTGTGATTAGTGTGTATGTTGTGTGTGTTTTGTGTGTATGTGAGAGAAAGAGATATTGCATAGTCTCCCATGCACCCTTTCTCCCTCACACCCACACTGCTGTCATCCACCAATCCCGACAGTGAATCAGCCACCGTGGCAGCTTCGCCCGAGGCGTTGGCACAGTGGACGGGACTGGAGTTACCTCCTGTCCTGCATGATAGGTGGTGTCTGTGTGAGTGGATCTTAGTGTCTCTGTCTCCCTGTCTCGGGGTTAAGCATCTGCTTCCTCTCTCCACACCTGCAAGCTGAGCGTCTCTCCTGTCTATCTGTCCATCCATCCCTGTTCCTCTTTATCTCTCCCTCCTGTTGCCTTTCCTCCTGGAGAGTTGAGGCCATTGTGGGGCTGAGCAGTGTTGGGTTCTGTTCTCCTGCTGCTGCCAGCTCTCCCCACGGCCCCTGCAAGACAAGGCTGTTATTGCCCCAGGGACCGCAGGCTTCAGCAGCTCTTCCTCCAAACAAATTTGCTGTAACTTTATCTGCAATTGGGCCCTGAATTGGGAGCAAATAGAGGCAGCTTTGTGAAGCTCAGGGAAGGGCGAGGGCAGCGAGCTGGGGGTTGTTGGGGAGGCAGGGGAAATGATACCAGGCTCTTTTATGTCAGGCAAAGTAGGACTCTTATCAGGAGGAGAGCCCAGACAAGGGAGCTCCTTCTAGAGGAAACTGGAGCACCTATCACCTGCTTTGCATTTAGATAAAAATTCACCCTGCTGAAATAAAAAAAAAGGGGAAAAAAGCAAAGACAGGTACAGAAGCAGCTATTGGAGTGTGCATGTGTTTGCACATGTCTGGCTGGCAGTTTGATGCACACACACAGAGTGCATAGACGCCATAGCAGTCATTGGTACACACTACTCCAGGTCTCTTTAAATTGCTCCTTTGACTCTTCTTCAAAGAACCTAACTTTGAAAAGTTTTGAAGTCAGGAGTTCGTCATTGCCCACAGCAAGGGACGGCTTTGAAATATGTACTTTCACATTTTGCTGCTCTCCTGATTTGCAAAATGAATAATAGTTGAAATATAGTGCCATGACTAACAGAGAATACCAAGTCAGAGTTTAATCACTAGAGATAGACTCAACAGGAAATATGTGAGGCCTTTTGTTGAGGAGTTGGAGATTCAGCATTCCTACTTTTGACAGCTGCCAATATGCAGCTCCTGTGTAGTGGCCAAAAAATGGTGTATGCATTGTTTTAATTTTCTGTTATAAAAAAATGACTGGCTTTGACACATGAATTTTGGCGATTCGGCCTGCTTTCTTATGGGATGAACGGCATTAATTGTGGAGCAAATTTATATTCTGCAGAAGTACAGCAGGGGGCAGTCTAGCACCACTGAATGATGCCAGTGTCCGGTCACAAACAGGACACGGTCTCCCTCCCTCTCCAGCTCCCTCGAACTTAACAGGACTTCTAGTTGCTATCTGGCAACACTTAGTGTCAGCATGGAAATTGATGTAAGAGAAATAAAGGGTAACTCTGAAATCCAAACTTCAGTTTCACTCCACTGAGACAGAGCAAGGGGAAAGTTAGCCTGGTGTGTGGTTAATGTAAGCCAAGTACTGAGTATTACCCTCCCACAGTGCCGCAGCTCAGAGCCGTTAGAATGCGAGTTGTTTTGAAACAAATAATACACGATACAAGTTTCAATGTGCCACACTGAGTGCTTGAATAAATCATTTTGACTTCTCTTTTTTTATTTATTTATTTTTACATTTCTAATATACCTTCTTGTGGTTGAGGGTGTTATTAATACTAAGAGAAAGCAACACACATAACTGCAATTAAAATCTAGTCTTGTCAAAATAGTTTACTAAATGTGTGTATTGGTATTTTAGCTAATGTGTTACAAATTATACCTGCCATTATTTTGCTTTGTTCATGTTTGTGATTGTCTGTTTCAAGTGTATGTCTCGTATCAATTTCAGCTTACGCTCAAATGTGAAGTTTGCCCAGTTCAAATGCAGCCTTTATCTATATTTGAAATGCTTTAGCAGATTTGACAATGGGAAATATTTGATTTTGTTTTGTGAATAGTTTTCTTTGGCATTTCAGTGGACTTCACCAAACTTGTTGAACTACAAATAAGTTTAACAAATTATGATACATGTCTATGACAATAAGATTTGTTGGGTGGTTTTTGGTGATTAATATCAAATGTCTCTCTTAAAACACAAACAAAACAAACTCTAAAACTGATACTGATCACTACTGCTCTTTAGTACTTTAGATAAGGACAGGCAATATTTTATCAGTGGTGGCATGACAAGCAAAGTGCAGTAATCCTTTTAGTAAGTAACGTTTATTTATCATTACTCTGCTGTTTTTCATGCTTTCAAAAGTACATATATTTTTTATAATTTAAATAGTACACAGTCATATATAACTAGAGACAAACACTGAGTTTACATGAATATTGTTACATTACCACACAGGTAATATTCGGTGATGTTAAACAAAAGTAAGAGTAGAGCATGATGAGCTTTCCTCTGTGTGCGTGTTCAGATACCGATAGGTTGCCGACCACTACATAATGCGTGTCTGAGCACATCTACACTTTATTCCCATCGAGTACATCTGGAGCTTCATTTTTCTCCCTTTGTTTTTACCCTTCAGTCCAGTGTGTTTTCCTCGTTGTATTTTTTTCCCTCTCCGCCTTTCTCTGGTTACTGACATCCACAGCAGGCTCCTTCCCACTCCCTCTTCCCCAGGCGAAGAGCTCGCTATCTGGTGTAACAAGCGATGGGGGGTGTCTGTGATCGCTCAGTCCTTGTGGAAAGGTCCAGGCACTGCAGGACCCTATTACCCAGCCGGGGGGCACGGAGACGGGGCAGGGTGGCCGCTGCTGAGTGTCCGGTTCCTCCAGCTGCCAGTCAAACTTCGCCCTCAGCTGCTAAAACCAAATAGAGGAGGAATGAAGGGGGATCACAGGTTAAAAAGCCTCAGGCAAATGGAGAAGAAAGCAAGATTTAAAAAGAAGAATAAAACATAAAAGAGGCTTTTAAGGTTTCATATAAACATCAGGACAGTGAGGAGCGATTAATTTGTCCATATGTGATAAAGATACTATGAGCGATTAGAGATCTAGTCACTAAATATACAGTACAATATGTGCCTGGTCTAAGTTATATTTATAGCACAGTATTTGAAAGGAGCAGCATGTGTGTCTGCATGAAGTGTGCAGTTATTTATAGCTTCTACCAGAGAAGATTTAAAACAAGTGAGCTCCTTTGTTTGACTGAGCTTATGTTTCCTCTCCTCTGTTGCACATTTAGTTGCTTTATTCTGGTGTTACGGATTTGTAAATTATAATAATTTGTAGAATGATGGATAATTTTAGAATAGTTGCATTTTGTAGAGAAAATGTGTGTGTGTGTTGATATGCAGGTTTTCATGGTCTTAACAGCTTTTTTTGATGAATGAAGGGAAGTAGGTGTGTTACTCGTTAGTATATAAACGTGAATTCTTGAATTTCCAGCGCTCGCACACAGGCTGTATCAGGGGAAAGTCCGTGTATGTGAGAAAGTTGAGCCTGAGAGACAGAGAAAGGTTTCAGCCCTTATGGGAGAGTTGGTTGTTGCACCAAGGCCATTCAGGTTTATTTGGGAAAAAACAAAAACATTTTGCTCTGAGCATTATGCATGTGTACTGGTCATTTCTAATGTTTAATTTATGTTTCTTTTTGCCTTACGCACTCAGTGTGTCTTAGTTTTACATGAAGTTATAGTTGTATTCAAAAGTTTAGATATGCCTTGCAAACTTTTCTGAGTGGGAAGGGTCAAGTTGACAAAATATCTGTTTAATTGTGGTGTTATTGTGAGGAGGAGTTTGCAATGAAATTCAGGTGTGTGTGGGTGAAGGGAACGTGAAATACCAACGGCACAGTGCATGAGTGTGTGTGCGCAGTTTAATGTCCGATGGGCTCGACTCCTATAAGCACAAACCTGCAAACGCACTCTTGAAGGGCTGTTGAACCTCATGTTCAATTTAACCTTAGACTGTAAACATAGTGAAGAGCTGGATTTTTATCCTTCACTCTGTTGCTCCCCCATTATATATACAGTACACACACAAAAGAATTTGGTTGTTGATAATAAATCTGTTTTATATATTGGTCTCAATTTTACTGCCCTTGAAGGTTTCCCATCAAAACTGATGTTAAATAGGGATGTATTTCCATACAGAGAGTAATTCATTTCAGAGCTTCTTTGCTCATTTATAAAATAGAGTTCTTAAATGTGATACATATGTTTTGCTGGAAAAGATTGACCATTAGACTTGGTTTGCATTGTCAGCATTCTTTTATTCTAATTGCTGCAAATGTTTTATCAACCATGAAAAAATCTCTGTACTTTTAGTTATTAGTAAAATACATCATTTTTGTTGAATTTGTTTCAGTTTGTATTCCTACAAAATATCCCATCTTAGTATCAAACTTCTTAACAATTGACACAATGCTTTCTTCCAATTGACACAATACTGCCATAATCTATTATTAGCAATTTTACCTTCCCACATATCTTCTCCCAACCACTGCAGTGATGTGTTGTCAGATGCTAAAGAGCCCTGCCAAAACCAGAACACAGGCTTTTAGGAAAGGTTACTTTTCAGATGGTACTCTTCTTGTTTGGTGATGAGAGGGGAGGTATAGAGGTTATGGTTTTGGCAGATGGGTGCAGAGAGGGTTAGAAATGGTGCGTGCAAGTCTTTTGGGGTATGAGAGAGTGTATTAGGGTTTGGAGTGACAGGGTTAGGGACTTGGGGTGCAGGGTGTGTGAGGTCAGGTGCTGGGTTTTGGGCTTGAGATTGGAAGGGTCAGCTTTGACGTGCTGCGGCTGAAATGGTACATGACCTCAGGCGTGATTGGCGTGGAGGATAGAGGCTCCGTCCACTCGTACTCATCTGCCTCATCGTCCTCCTCCTGAACTGAAGGCCCAGAAAACCTTGAGGGTCAGGGTGTTGAACCTAGGCTCACTGACACCAGGCCTGCACCTTTGTTGAAGCACAGCCTTATTTTTACACTTTGTATGTTGTGATTCAGCATATAAATGTATGCTTTCCAGTCACACATATGGTCGGGGTGCATTCTCAGAAGTTTGCGTCATGAAGGTCAACATGGGGTCTTCAATGTATACATTCTTATGCCGCATTGTTCGGGTCTTGAATGTATACATTCTTATGCCGCATTGTTCTCCCTTTTTTGTTCTTTTCTTTTGCTGACTTCTCTTTTTTCTTTCATCAGCTTTTTATCATCGTTGTTTGGAATTTTGAAGTCTATATGATTCCTCTGACTCTGCTGCTGCCCTTGGCCTGGAACTACATCCTCATTGCATTGGGGAAGGATACTAGGCAAGATGTGGTGAGTAACCTCATTGCTTCTGCCTTTGTTGCATTTCACTGGAAAAGCCTCCTTCCACAAACAATGCAAAGTTCAAACTCAAACACCATTGTTTTATGGAGACATGACACTCTTGTTTTATCGACAACATTAATGACACATGTTTCATTCCTTTGATACGGGCATATAACAAACAATTTAATATTTGTGATCCAAATAATGTGATGAGATTATGATCGCTATAGATGTGCACATAAAAGCCTGTAGATTTGTAAACAAGAAGATGAGCATAATACAGACTCATTTAGAATTTACCTTTTGGTTAAATTGCAGAAAAATGAAATTTATTTTAAAAATTCCTCAGCTTTTTTTTTTTTTTAGTTTTAATAACTCCATCTGCCCCTTGAGGAACTACATTCTCATTGCAATCTCACATTTCTCACTTTGCCTTCTTTGAGGCAAAGAAAAGGGGGAAATAATAGGCTGTCACCTTGAGCTACGTTACGCCACTTACCTGGTAGTATATTTATTTAATTCATTTATTTTTATCTCTTATACCAATTAAATGATGTCAAAGCAATGTCATGGAGAAACAGACATGTTTTAATCATGGCCAGGCACATTTGGAGAGCAGAGAGTGAAAGCGAGAGAGAGAGAGCTGGACTGTGGAGAGAGCGTGAACAATGAAGTGATTAATTTTAATAAGTGCCTTTTTCCAAGACTCAGTTGGAAATAACCAGTTAACAGACCTCAGATTTTTGAACTCTCTCTTGCCTTCTGTATGTGTATATTTACCTCCTCATAAGCATTCTTTGGGTTGGATTGGATTTGGAAGAGATTCAGTTCAGTCATTTTAATGAACCCACTCTCACTGCTGTGTTTTATTGGAATATTGAACATAAAATTGAATTAGATGTGAACTGTGTATATATTACAAGATTATTTGGTAAGAGCTAAGATTATCTGTTTATAAATCATTACATATGGAAATAATGGTTTATAAAGTTGACAGTAAAATCAGCACAGACACCTACAGTGAGAGACAGATATAAGACTTCTGTACTAGACTGTCACTTGGTTGTCTTACAGTAGTTTCTGTTCATGCTTAGGATTTATGCTTAGTATTTAAACTGGATATGTTCACTTATGTCAAGATTTGCATGTTTGCATTGCAAGTAGGTTCACTGACAAAATACAGCACTTCATTTGTGAATGACACACTTACTTTTCAGAGGAGACTTTTCCTGGCCTGTAGATGGCGACATTGCTTGACAAAAAAAAAAAAACTAAACTAAAAATCACACACATCTGAAGACAAAACCCGGCGTGATGATTTGTCCCCCTACCTGCTGCTTGTATTTATTCAGACCTTTTCCAATGTACTTCCTAACTGAAATGGAAACAAACAAAGCTTACATATTCTCATAATGTGCCATTCACTTCACATATGGGTAAGTACATGCAACTCCCACTTCATGCAGAATAGCTTTTCTCTCTCCCTTGAAAAGGACAACTGTTTTTCAAGTTGCAACATTAAGACAAGTTGATGCATCTGGACAGAACGCTGTTCTGCAAAGTTGTCCTGTGCTCAGAAAGACAGCCATGGACAATCAATACTATATGTACACACAAGAAAATGTTTTAATTTGACTCTTCTGATTGTCTTGCTGGTATTGCAACACTGTAGTTATGATTGACATGTACTTCTACTTTAGACTAGGAATCTGGGGCCGCATAGCTTTGCCACCAACTATAACCAAAGGTATTTAATGTTTTAATTTTAACATCAGTCCTTGTAGTTCAGCTTGTGGATGTTTTTCCCAGTGATAGTCAGTTGTTTTTTTTTTTATTCATCTTCAAAATGTGGTTGGAGGATGTTTGGTTCAATTCAAAGAACTTAACAAGGTCAAGGCTGTTTTTAGCCATGAGAAAGAGTTTCATATCTCATGCCGTTATTTTCAGGGCATTTAGCTTTTATTATTTTTTTTTTAGGGGCTGGACTTGAACCGCCAGCATCGTGCACACACCTGTGTACATGGTGTGCTGCACTTTAACCATTTGGCTTTCAGGGCATCTCATATGTGACCTTTTAATCTCCACTGTCGAGCAGTGACTCTAAGTGTGTGTGTTGTGTACTTCTTTTGGTTTGACAGTCTTTATGTGTAGATTGGAGTGTTAGTTCTGCTAATGGCAAGGGGAAGGTGTGTGGAGAAGATCGAGCTGGTGGTGAGATAGGCAGAGGCAAACAGAGAGAGAATAGCAGTAGCATATATTTATTTATGTACTGTATGTGATTGTGCAGGTGTGTGTATGATGCATGAATACTGTTCTGTTGTCTGACATAGTCAGCTGTGTTTTCTTTATTCCAAGGTTACGGTTCAGAAACAACCAGAGCTCATGCAAACATACGCACACACTGTATATACATCTGCATGCATGAGTCACTCCAGTTACATACAGTGTGTGTGGAACTTCAGCGTGTGAGAAAACACTGTGCAAATAGAGATAAGTTATGTGTCTATGTGAGAAATGTGCATACTTGTATATACATTGTGTGTGCACAGAAACAAGTGTGTGCAGACATTCTTTGCAACAGTGTATCCGATGAAAGTGGGATTAATTGTCAAAGATTAGCACCATTAATGCTGCTTTTCCTGCTGCTGTGACAGTTGGGCTGAACAGCACAGAGCAGCACAGGCAACACAAAGAACTGTCATCTCTCTTGTGTCGGTGTGGCGGTCTTACTGCCTCAGGATTGGTGAATGTGATGAACCCACTCTCCTTGCTCCATTATAAACTCTGTTGTCTCTTTCACTTATATTTGCTGTCTTATGTCAATTTGAATATGTACAGTAAAATTTATGTGCAGTGGTGTAAGCATTCATTATATTCAAGCGTTTGTGTTTGCAAATGCTTTACGCACAGACACTCTAACACACACATTCAGACACAAGTATCCCCCGAGTCCTGTCCCTGTTTGTTTTCAGACAGAATTTCCCAATCTGTGGCTGTGCAGGGGGAAGTGGGTACAGTGCGAGCAGTACTGCATTTTTTTTTTTTTTTGCTTCCTCTCTCTGTTCCCTGGATTCCTCTTCTGAGTGTCTGTCAAGCTGAAGTCATGGACGGCTCACTGTTTTCCTCTGGCACTTGGCAGAGAACAGAAAAGAAAACAAGGGAAAAAGGCTTTCTAATTGCTTCAACCAACACACCAAATGAATGCACTGAGCAGAGCCCAATAAAGGCCAACATCCGGAGCACTGGGGGTGAGGGTAATCCCAAAAAAAAAATCTCAGCTAAACTCACTCTAAAGGGTGACAGAGGCAGAGATATGGTGGGGGACAAAAGATTGCACGCACACACAAAACACACTAGAGCACAGACTTCCTAATGAAATGAAGGGCCTTACTACTACTGATGGGTTCAATGTGAGGACCTCCGATATTGTACCACAACCACAGTTCATAGCCCTGTCTATAGCAAATAAACAAACACCGGGTTCTCTCCACGTTGTAATTCACTACTCAAGGTCACCGACTGTTGTTTGGTTACATGCTGCTTTGCAAACAGCACCCAGATTGGCACTCCTTACCCTCACCCCAACCTTGACCAGTGCCTGCTAAGCAGTTGGAGCATCCTCAGAACAGCGATTAATGGAGGCGATGCACCAAGCGAGGTTGCCGACCTCCTCTCTTATCATGTAGCAGGCTGACCTGTGAACCTCACTCCTCAACATTGTGAGCTGACCTGTGTCATGCTGTAACATGCTCACTGAAACAAACACACAAAGAGGACTGTTTATGCTTTTTAATATTTGTTCAGGATGATACTTTGTACATTGACATTCAAAGCTGATAATGTGCTATAAAGGAAGGCTCATTCTATAGTTCTGCATTTGTGTGGAGTCCCCTATTTTTGGGAGGTGGAGGAACACAAATGATTCTCTCCTCTTTATTACTATCTTGTTTTGAATCCTGCGACAGCGCGCTGTTTAGATCCTGCTGCAAATGAAGCTGCCAGTAGGCTGGGCTCGGTCAACCAGAGGACAGGCAGCTCTGCTAGAAGAGAAAAGGGATACTAGGCACGTGTGCACGCGTGTGTATCTTTTCATAACTGTGTGTTTTGTTTGTGTGCGTGCCTGCTTGCATGAGTGCTGAGATTAACGTGCAAGGACACATCCCAATAGAAATCCTTCCTTGCTGTTCTGTTGGCCCAGAAAGGCCCTTAACAGATGTTATGAAGGTGTTAATTTTAGTGCAGGCTGTCGTAGAGGGCATATACAGTGCAGGAACATGGTGATGTCTCTTTCTACCACAGTATGACGGGCAATTAGGCCTCGTCACATTGGAGGACCATCCTCTTTATCTTGTGCTTCAGACTGTTACATAGATTCACCCACTGGATCTGCCAGCCCATTACAGAAGAGAAGATCTTAATGGCCTGAAGATACTTCACACTTACAGACATGCTTCCACTGGAGATATAGAGCAGACTACTTCCAACCTACTCTACATCCTGTTAGATAGGATTTCCATACAAACAAATATAGAGTTTAATCTTCCTGGTAGAGCCTAGTCATCCTTAAAATAAAATAATTGACTAAGGTTTTCTTCCGATTTGTCATGTTGTTTAAATCCATGTAGTTCTACTTGTACTAATTTAATCTTTATTTTCCTGAGTGTGAAACACTCGGTGTGACAGCAGTATATTGTTCATTAGTGTAAAAAGAATTTCCAAGACACTAATAATGTCTGATTTTTTTTTTTTTACATTGTATCATTTCAAGAACTTCATTGCCATTTTTATCTATTCTATTTTCTTCTTTATTTTGCATCTCAAAAAGACGTCGCTGCATCTCTAAACATACTCTGCCTTGACATCTGCCCTCATTAAGAACCACACACAACACACGCAGAGAACAGTAAATATTAGGAAACCTGGAAAGAAAAGAGGAAGCACTGCCTATTATACCTCAACTCCTCCAGAAAGTCACAACACTTTTTTCTCATAAAACTGCAACTCTGGAAAGAAAAGGAGAACGAGAAAGGGAGATGGAGTGGGAGCAGGAGACAAAAAAAGACAGAGGCATTCAGAAAGACAGAGACGAAGGCAGAGGAAAGCAGCAGTGGATGGCAGGCACTCCTCAGCGCGGAGTCAGACATGGCAGTTGGTGACAGGTGACAAAATCAAAAGGTCATGTCACTTTTAACTGGGAGCGCGTGTGCCCCGCTGATTTCCCCCGTGCCGCCCCGGCATCACCGCGCTCATCTCTTCTCCTCTCGCTGCCTCTCTGTCTCTGCTAAACTGGCAGATAGGATGGCAGGCTGGCAGGCAGAAAGACAGGCAACGGGCATAGTTTGAAGCGGGACGGGAGCAACGGGAGCATCAGGATTTCCACTGCAGAATCCTCCCAGCTTGCCTTTTCATCATGTTATCTCTCTTTCTCTTCCCCTCCATTTGTCTGACTCCCTTCATCACACCGAACCTTTGTAACTGTCTGTGCTCTTTGCAAACAACGTCAGCAGCTCAGGGTATGTGCCTCAGTGCTCGTTGTTGATTTGTCTATACAGACAGCCGCTGTAGTTGTTTGAGAGTTTTTCCAGTTTAAACCTTGATATTAAGCTCACAGATGTGTGTTTGTGCATCAAATTTATACCTTTTTTTTCCCACAACTGATTATGAAAAACATTAAGACACAACAGTATCATCTAAGGACAAACATTACTGTCTTTACTGACTCTC